TCGATTGTATTTGGTGGCAATGAAGTGGAGGGTTTCGACGCACTCGGCGTCTTTACCTTCGCTGACGAGGAATTTGGGAGTCTCCTTGAGACGGATGATGGTGATGCGGAGAATAGACATTACAAAAACCAAGGATCCAGAAGCGTACCATACGTAGCGCCAACCTTGGTTGTTAGACTTTGTACAGGGGCCTGCCGTGGGATCGAGGGATGGGTCTGCGCAGCTAAAATTTGGAAGGAAGGCCCAGGCAAAAAAGCCAGCTACGAGCTGACCAATGCCTAGTCAGAGTGTTAGTACTTAGGCTTATAGATGCCATCCCTCGGAGAAGAAAACAACGGAAGATTGGGGATATATATACCCCACCAAGCTGCCATGAGCGTAAGCATCCACTGCCTATAGCTAGGCAGATACTCCAAGAACACTGCCGTATCCAACACCAAATTCCCTCCGGCGCCAAAAGCACTCAAACATACGAACAAGCCCAAGACTTCCCAATTTGGGCTTGCTCCAGCCACAATTGCAAAGATCGAGCAAATCAGCAAACTAACGTTAAACGCTGTCTTTCGGCCGATGATATCGGCCGATAAGCCCCAGAATAAGGCTCCCGTGAGCATTCCGACGTAAGCAGCGATGGTCAGGCCGTTTCGGTAGGAAGGCTTGAACTCAAGGGCGGCTTGCGCGGCGATGACGGACTGAATGAGTAGGATGAGGGAGTCAACGGCGTAGCCAAAACCATTCAGGACAAAGAGCTAAGCCTTATTAGAAATGCTCTAAGATGTCAGAGACACATCAAGTACCTTCCATTGATACGTCGTGAAACCGATCTGGGGACTGTAATCAGTACACACCCACAAGAGTCTTCTCTCAACAAGCTTACCTCATCGATCGCATTGTTAACCAGATGCATTTTGACATTTAGCACAGGATCAGTGTGCTCGAGTTGTAAGATGTCGTCTTTACCCAAGCTACTCGTTTCACCGCAGGCGTGCTGGTGTTCAACATCGTGCTCGTGCTCTTGCACTTTCCCGTCGTGAACTTTGCTCTGATCGTCCATCTTACTATACCACACCTCAATCTCCGAATGCACTGTACAAAGTTTCCAACTCTTTGCAAATGTGAGAGGTGCACGCGACGACTGGGAAGAAAGAGAAAGGCCAAATAGAGGGGCACCGAGTGTAAGGTAGATCCATGTATCTTGCTGGCACTTGCAGCGAAGGACAAGACTATTCCGATGCTGTGCCCAATGCAACGTCCGAACTCACCACGTTGTTCGCCTGGTCCGAACGGCTGCACCAATGGCAACAACCCAAGGAATGCGCTTGTCAGCTCGTAGCTACGCTTTGATTGGTCGGCATCATAATCGGCTGTTCGTGACAGGGGTATAAGCTGAGGCGATCGCTCTTGGAAATCCTTGGGTTGTGATACGGGCGATACCAACGTGGGAAGGTGCGAACGAGCACAAGAACGTTCCGTCGAATCGGCAGTCGACCATTCTCGAGTTGCGCGCAACGTCTCTGAGCACGGAGATGGCCTCAGTGGCGTAAATCTGCAATACCAACTGGGCCACCTAGGGAGATGAGTTCAGGTCTTTCCATCTGCAATGTATATGTATTTGACTTGACTATGCTCTGTATTGTGGAGTACGACTACATGCGCCTTCGCGCAGTGGGAATTTTGGTATAATCGTGATGGCGCCCCACTATTACAGCATTAGCAAGGAAAAAAAGGAATCTGTACATGATATCGCCGTAAATATAGCCCTGGTATCCTAAACGCCTTGCTGAAGACAAGATGTACACAATGATGAAATGCATCGGAAACAAGAGGATCCCATGTAATAGTTCCTACTGCCCGGGTGTTTGTGTCGGAGTACTCTCTTCGGTGCTGGCAATAGCACTGTCGCCTTCCGCGACCATCGTGACCGGTGTTGGTGTAATCCTTCGTCGCTTACTCTCTCGCGCATCTGCATCAACTTCCGGCATAGCATACAAATCTCGTTTCTTGGAAGTCGAAGATGCATCGTCGCGGTCTGACTCGCTCATTTCGCTTTCTCTTCGCCCAACATGGGCAGTGCTTGCCACCCCGCTGACCGAGCTACTTGCACTGTGCGTCGTGCCCTGGCCGTGAGCTGGGGTCAGAGGCGGTGTCCACATCGGTACAGGTCCAGAATTGGCAGCAGCAATACTAGGCACTGATGACATAGCCGGCGTTGGGGCGTTCATGTTGCTTTGGTCACCTGCACCGGGCGCAAAGGATGAAGCAGTAGCAATACTGGATACTGAATTGCTTCTTGTGGGACTTCCAGGCCTTGCGGGAACAAAAGAGCTCGGAGAGGCCGGGAAGCCTGCAGAGGGTTGCCTCTGCATTGGTGGTGCAGTAGCCGTTGTGGTGCCTGGCATGGTTCCGTTTGTTGGTGTAGGAGTCGGGGTAGAGTTGTTTGATGTGTGCCCCCCCGTGGTGTTGATGGCAGCAGGTGTCTGCTGTGGTCGGCTATGAACAGCTAAAGGACCCGTGTACTTGTCGCCGAGTTCGCCAGGAGCAAATGTGATGGATGAGCAAAAGCCATCCGACGAGGTCATCAGCAGCATGGAGCCGTCATTTGACCTATTGAATGGTAAGTGAACTGGGAGTCAAAGCGGGCCTCGGCACGTACCAGGTGATGTCTGTAAAGGTAGCAAAGTGCAAGTTGCTGACGATGCATAGGGGCTTCTGTTGCTGCGTATCGTAGATGTGGATAGCGTCTTGTGTTGCGACAGCATACATCATGCGATAAGGCAGTGTAAAGGCAGACGGAGGCCCGGGGGGCAGGCCGGATTGAGCGGATGCTTCGCCATCGGCGGGCTTGGGCGACGGCGCTGATAGGCTAGGCGAGGGAGAAGGCGCACTCGTGATGGGCGGGGGGTCCATGGATGAATGCGAGGTAGGGGGCTTGGAGGGCATGACTGGATCAGGCAGAGAAGGAATCTCATCGTCCATATTCGAAGTATCGATGGTGATGTGCCTGGTGGGTGGGGCAGACTGGCGCAGGGTATAGTAGACGGGCGAGCAACGGACGGCGACCGAGGGCTTCTTGTGGCCGGGCAGATAGGCGACGGGTGGCTTGTTAAGGCCGGCCCGGGTATATATGTAGACTGTATTCGTGATGTCGTCGGTCTGCTTGGCTTCAGCAACGGACGCATGCACGGCCTTGTATTGGCCTGCCGGCGTGAACAACAAGCTGCCGTCCGGGGCAAATGTTAGACGTCGGAAGAAGGAGGTCAGGGTCTCGTTGAAGTAGAGGGGCGCGTTGCGGAGGCCCATGGTGCCCATGGTGCCAATGCTGGGGGAGTTTGGCATGACGGCGGGCAGGGGCATGGACGGAGCGGGCGAGGCGGAGCGGCGCATGGATGGAGAGGAGCCGAAGGACGAACGACGGCTGTGCGAGGTCGGCGGCGGATGCATCGTGGGCAGGGCCAGCGACTGGGGCGTGCCGGGCATCGACGGCACGGGCGAGCCGATTGCCATGGCAGCATCAGCGGCAAAGGCGCGGCTGCCGAAGTCTGGGGGCGCCGGGCTGTTGGAAGAGACGCGGCGGGCGGGCAGGTCCATCTTGGTGACCTTGCTGTGCTGGGCCAGCGAGAAGTGGCCGTCCTTGTTCTTCAGGGTGTAGATGTGGACGGAGCGGTCCGACGACTGGGTTGCAATGTACTCGTTCATGGGGTCCCAGGCAACGCCCTGGACGTAGTGGTTGTGCTCGGCAATCTGCCGCACGATGCTTCCTAGACACGATTGAGCAGCTATCGGGGACGTGGTGGCTGGGCACGGGGCGTACCAGTGTGAGCGTTGTAGATGCGGGCAATGTTGTCCATGCTGCCTGTGATGAAGAAGACGCCGTCAGGGGACCAGGCCAGGTCGTAGATCTCGGAGCCTATGGACCTGCACATGGCCTTGACTCGCCACGTCTCCTTGTCTTCGAGGCCCTCGTCCAAGTTGTGCGCCGCTTGCTTCTCGGCGGGGACCCAGAGCAGCACGTTGCCGTCGTCGCCGGCGCTCGCGAGCATCTCGCCTAGGGCACGTCAGTTGCTGCTCTCTCTTGCACGTGGGCCGGAGGCGTACCCCGTGGACACCATCGCACCACGTTGACGGCCTGCGTGTGCTTGGCCAGAGTCGACAGGTAGGTGACGGTGCGCTCCTCGCCGTGCGCCTCGACGCTCCAGAGCTGTTGTACAGGTCAGCGCAAGTCCATGCTGCTCGCGGGGAGGGGCTGCCGCACCCGCACGTTGTTGTCGCCGCCCGCTGTCGCCAGGCGTCCCTTGCCGTGGGGCTCAAAGTGCGCCGAGTAGATGGGCGCGTTCTCGTTGTGCCAGGACACCAGGAGCGGAGCAGCCTTCATCGTCGCTGGGGCCGCTGCTCATTCCGCACACAGGCGCAGGCGTAGGGCGTCCGTGGGTGCTGGCTGCACGTGACGGGTCGTGATGTTGGCGGGAGGAGGGCAGGGCATGCGGGTGAGGCTCTGGGCTGGCGGTGCGGAGGGCAGATGGATGGTTTGCCTGTGTCTCTGGGTGCCCAGGTGGTTGGAGCGCGGACGTTCCGCGTCTGCTCCTAGCCGCATCGGGAAAGCTCTTTGGTTTTGGTTTCACTGTAGCCACCAGCGCCCGTCCAGCCTCCCACACGCCGGCCCTCATGTAGATCCTGCAAACACAGGCAACCCGCCTGCATCTACTATAGCAGACGACGCTGCCGCCCGCCTCGAAACTAAGCTGCTGCTGCTAGATGCTATGTATCCCTACTAGACGCACTATCATCCTAAGTTACGGGAATTAAGCTTCTCCGAAGATGATCGTGCCTCGCTCCTTCTTCGCTTGCCTAAGTCGTATCCGGTATTAGGGTCGCCCGACATCATCTCTGCGACTAACGCAGCCAAGCACAACCTGCGGACGCGCATTAGAGATGCTGTTACAGGGCTTAGGCTGGCCTAAGGCGAAGAGGCCCTCGATGCCATCCTCGCTGCCTTTCGGCACATGCTCGATTCTGCTCCTGCTGAATCACACAGCGGCTCGACCGCAGGGGCCGACCAGAGTCTAGACACCTCCAAGACAGTCATTGTATGGCTGCACCACCTTCTCAATACCAACAAACGCAAACTTGCACTCTCACCTCCGTCTTCAGTGCCACCCGTGTCTGGGCTCACCAAGCCTGGATATCCTGGCTTGCTTGTCTACTCCGGCCCCTCCGTAGCTGTCACAGAGCATGTCAACACGCTAAAAGCACAGAACTGGCAAGCGTTCCAGGTACGGTATGAAGAAGCAGAGCTCTGGCACTTTGCACATGGTGCCGGCGTCAGAGAGATGGAGACCATGAGCCATGTCGTCAAGGGCGTCGAAACAGAAGGAGCCATTGGGGCAACGCAGAAAGAGGAGCTTCTCAAAGCTATCGGTATCAAATAAACATCCCACCAGTTCTCTGCTACACTTCTTCCAAAGGCGCCCTCTTGTTTTTTGACGTGACCCCTGGCTCAAGTAATCGTTAGGACCTCCGCTTATGGATGTCCATCTGGACTTTCGTGGTGACGTGATGTACCTTGGATGTACGAAGGAGCAACATGTCATTCGAGGTTGGCCCGAGCGCGCCAGTTCGCATCCCAAATCATCGAAAGTCTGCCGCAGCACCATTTCGCAACACCACGGCGTCATACAGTCTCCAATATCAACACCCCAATGGCTGCACCAATGAAATGCATGGCCACGGCTGTGAGGAGTATTTCAGGTCCACGAGCGGCGCGCGTTCCGCATCGAACATTCGCCTTTAGCACATCGAGTCCGGTCGCATCGTCGCGGAAACCATCAGCGGGCAACGCAACGTGTCGGAGGGAATTACAGACAACGCGCATTGGACCAAGGAACGCTGCAAGTAGCTGCCAAGGACACACAAGGGGTTTTTCGCAATCGACACCACGGAGCAAGCTCAAGACAATAGATCAGATCCGGGCCAGGAACAAGGGCGGGGTACGTTTCGATATCCAAGGAGCTATGTACCAGATGGGAGTACTTAGACGCCCGATCAAAGGCTAACGCTTCATAGCCATTCAATCTCACAGCAGCCATCCTCTTCGTCGCAGCAGGTGGAGGATTATGGGCCTACTTCACATACGAGAAAGAGCGCATGGCAAGAAAGCGAATCGCCGAGCAAACAAAGGGTATCGGAAAGCCTAAAGTAGGCGGTCCATTCCAGCTCCAAGACCACAACGGCCAGCCATTCAGCAACGAGGATATGCTAGGCAAATACTCTCTCGTACGACATCGCCCTCGCCCTAGTGTGAGCATTTACACTAACAACAGTGTCGTAGGTCTACTTTGGTTTCACTCACTGTCCCGACATCTGCCCCGACGAGCTCGACAAAATGGCTCTCATGTACGACAAAGTCGTCGCCGAATGCGGAAACGTCATCCTCCCCGTCATGATCACATGCGATCCTGCACGCGACAACCCCAAGGTGCTCAAGGAATACCTGGCAGAGTTCCATCCTGACTTCATCGGCTTGACAGGCACCCACGAGGAGATCAAGGATACATGTAAAGCGTATCGCGTGTACTTCAGCACCCCCAAGGACGTCAAGCCTGGCCAAGACTACCTGGTTGATCACAGTATCTACTTCTATTTGATGGGTATGTTGTCTTGCTGTCATCAGGTTGCACGTACATAGGCTAACAGATCTACCAGACCCAGAAGGCGATTTTGTCGAAGCCATCGGGCGCAACTTCACGGCGGAACAGGCTGCGAAGGTCATCTCAGACCACATCAAGGATTGGGAAAAGCCGTTGAAGAAAGAGACGAGATGGGAGTAGACGAATGCGCACTGAAGGTTGGAGATGCGAGTGGCTCGTGTGAATTGCATGCTATAGAACGTGGCAAGGACGTGCGAGTCACACCAGGTGCAGGGAGTGATGTATATATACTTTTGTAAGAATACGGTGAGTGGGGCTTATACTATGGCATGTGTGCAGGTGTGTATATTACTTGTCTGAATACCCATATTACAAGGACAAAGCATTTCGCTGTAGATGCAACACGTTCGTGAATGAGCTGTTGCTATGCATCCTTTGCGGCAGAGTTGGCACGGCGAATGCTTGGTACTGCTCTTCCGGAGCCAAAGTGCAAGGCAGGTGGCGCCCTAGCAGATGCATCGATGGGGACACCACGTGGGTGGGTAAGGTGTGGGGCCGTAGATCATCCAGTGTCCGGACGGTTTTAATTGTAGGTTATATTTTATCTATTTGCTAAAAAATCTACATGTCCTTTGACGGGCCGGTAACTCAGTGGTAGAGTGTAGGACTGCAGTTAACCCAAAAAACCGCCTTCCCGAAGTCACCGGTTCGACTCCGGTTCGGCCCTAGGTTCTTTTTACCCGGGGGCTTTTCTTTTTGGTACAGGCTGTATCTCTCTTTCTAATTAAGGCTCGAAAAGCTATTTATCTTTTTCTTGACATGCATTTCTTCGCAAGCGTACAATCGCCTTCTTTCTTAAGTTTCCTCTAACATAAGCACTTGCTGTATTCTCTACTTAAATGTTACAGAGACAGCTTTATGTCGTTCTGCACAGCGTGTCGCATACATAAGGTTTAGTATAAAAGTGTATAGACCTGTACTCTAGAAAGAGAATAAACTGTCTGTCTACAAATGTTCTTTTAGACACCTACAGAGCAGTTACATTAGTTACACAAATTACATACTCTAACGCAGAGATCTATACTAGATTATTCGGCCTCTCGCTTAAATGCATATTCTACAATTTATGCGGCAATGCGATATAACGTGTGTCCTTGCTTTGTACTTAGGAGAAGAGTAGTCGTCATAGCATTGCAATGTAGCCGTATCCTCTGCCAGCATTTCAGTGCACAACAAGCTATTCCAACGCGTATCAAACTGACAGACTAGGGATTTAGTCCGTGTTTGACGCGGATTAGAGCCCTGTCTTGGTTTGGGCAATTCATCGTTATAGTACCTTGGTATACTGTAAAATCTTAACTTTGTGCACCTATTCTTTGGTATCAGTGCGATAGCTTTGATAATAGACTAAATGCTGGAAGGAAGCTGCAGTAACAGCGTTGGGATGTGCGTTCAGATTGGTTCCATTCTTTTTCCCCGGACAAGTACATTGAAGAAAACCCATGAGTCAACCAGCACAACGAACGGCAAGGGTGGGGCCTAGGCGCCCAAGAAAGTGATGAGAACTCTTATGCTGCGTCTCTGTAGATCAGTCAATCTTGTTCGCAGTTGATGGCTGCTTATTACCTAGGTAGTGTTCCGGTGCACAACGTCTTGTAAGACTACGATTAAAGAAACGACCTTGGGATGCAGCATAGCAGTTGCCCTGTTTTGGCATCTGATTGGATACGCGTATTGAACACAAATGATATCCTCAAGGTGTGCTTTCGTTCAGAACCACTACAGCCTTCGCAAAAGCGAGGCTATCCCCCTCAGTGAATACAGATAGCAGGAAACTGAAATGGCTTTACTAATTGCAAGGTTACGTCAGACAAAGAATCGTATGTCTTGGCTGGGTTCCACCACCTCCAGTCTCATGAATGTATCCTGTTCTTGATCGCTTCTACAATACTCTTCAGACCACTCAGTCTGGCCTCTCTCGTCTCCCCAAGGTATAAGCTTGCAACAGGCCATGCATGAATACCTCCCGGCTCTTCCCAGCTGTCTACCTCTTTTCCGGTCTTTTCCAATAAGCTGATCAGGCGCCTTGTCTCCGGCCCAAGCACTTCTTCACTACCATATAGGAAATACCATCCTTGTTCAGGACTAGCCTCTCTCCACTTATTCAAATCTCTGCACGTTCCGGGTGAAACGAATGGATCATCTGCTGACACCTTGCTGCCGATGTATTGACGGCCGTATAGCTCCAACGATGAACTGTTGAGATAGTCGGATTCGGTGTTTCGATTTTCGCGCGATAGAATCGTGACCCACGGGCTGATCATGATGGCAAGGCCAGGTTTCTGATGTCGCAAGTCCGTGTGGTCAGACATGTATAGCAGAAAGCTCAAGATGAGGGTTGCGCCCGCAGAGTCTCCACCCACGACGACACGAACTGAAGATTGAGCTAGCGATAGAACGTATTCGTAGCCTGCGACCGTCTCGTGGAGTTGGGTAGGGTATGTAGCGTCTGGGACGAGCGTGTATTCCAAAGCGAATAGAGCCGGATTGCTGTACCCAGCGTTCTTGAGCATTGCAACCCAAGCGAGTAGAAACTCCATATAGAAGAAACTACTCCCCATGGAAAAGCCACCTCCATGAAAATAGTATACAATTACATCTGGCTGCTCTTGCTGGTTGTGCACTATCCATACACCTCTAAAGTTTGGCCTTTTAATCTCAGTCCACCTGATAGGACTGGTGACGATGCCGTGTCTCAGCATACGAAACCTCAAGAAAGGGAGTGACACGGCTTTGGAAAAAAAGACACGCCCCAGAAAGGCGGGCATGTTGGCGAATGCATAGCGAACGAAACGGATGACCAAGTCCTGGAAAGGCGTTGCCTTCTGCACGAAAGGGGCACGATGTTGATGTGATACGAAGAAGCGTTCACGAATGAACTGGTACGGTATGGCGACGGCTTTGGGAGCTGTGAGTATTAGTATGCCCACGTACATGACATGTTGTAGCTTACCCAGAGATGGCAGGGCTGGTATCAGCCATGTCAAGAGTGGCAGGAGCCCAATCTGGACTAACAATTGAGGAGCGAGAAAGACGAGGAAAGCTATGCAGTCCAGATAAGAAATTTGACTCAGTATCATCTTTACAGAGTAGAGGATGGACAAAGTATCTCAGCCACGAGCACGCCTAGCGACACCGTTCAGGACTGGAATAGCGATGACGCTGACAAGGGTCCGGCTAAGCCACAATCGCCTAGCGCCACATCTAACGGTTCCGCATTGATCATGCTTTCCCTGAGCTTCGGCCGGGCAACCTGCGAACCTCTGGAAAGACGTGAAGCCGGAGTCACATCAGGCGGAGCGACACCCAGACACTGACTTGCTCAAACGAGGCACGGAGCGGTTCGCACGTGACGGAAATTAGCGGAGCTGCGCACGGACCCGTCGGTCGGTCGCGACTTCCAGAAAACTTCCGCGACTCACTTAGCTGTCACTCCGCAAACACGTCTGTCCGCGCCTGCAAACAAGCCTGCCTGCTTGCCTGCGCCTGCATCGAGGGGCTGTCTTACTTCCATCTTTCCTTGTCTCTCATCCGCCATTTCCCATTGATGGAGTAACGTCTGGCGCAAACATCGGTTCCAACTCTTACACGGCAGCCTGACCCCAAGTCGCGAACTTGTCGGGCCTTACCATGGGCGACCCCGCAACCGATCCCAAGGCGGCGCCGCTCGCCGACGAGCTGAGAGAGCTTGCTGTGTACGTGCGAAATGCCTAGGCTCTGAACTCATACTAACGTAAGCAGGTCGCTCCCCACGACGGCCTTCCCGAAGAACTTCTTCTGCGCCCTATGTAACGAGCTTGCGTTCGACTCATACAAGCTGATCTGCTGTGCTAAATCCATATGCTCACCATGTGCGTACACCATATGCTGCTGCCGGAGATTCTCGCAGGCGCTAACGCGGCCCAGGTCAAGGAAACCTCCAGTTCCCGACAGCGTGTCCCTCGTGCGACCACTCCCCGCTCGAGGCCGACTCTTGCACACCGAACAAGTCTCTGCGTAACACGATGCGAGTGTGGCTACAAAAACAGAAGAAGAAGGAAGAGGCCAAGGCCGCGGCACAGGCAGCTACCCCGCCCGTCGAGGTGACACCGGCCGCGCCTGAGGTCCTGCCGGTCGGTGATGGTACAGAGCAGCCCGTAGACAGTGTTGAGGATGCGCACAAGGCAGAAGGCGGTGCTGCTGAACAAGCTGCTGGTTCTGCCGAGGCCCCAGAAGAGGCTGGACAGCGCGCCGGCTCGGCCGCGGCCCAACCAAAGGAGGTAGGTTGTGAAAGTCTTTCATTTCGCTCTTGCGCGAGCATGCGGGTACTGTACAATCAGAAGAAGAAGAAACCAAGCAGAAGAGACATCGTCGGGCCTCTAAGCATTGCAAAACATGGTTGCCACACGTGCCAATGACCGGAGATGCTTTCCACTGCACTCGCGCTCTTGCTGACCAAATCAGGAAAATGCTTCTCCTGAGATGGAGACTGAGCGGCGCGGTAGCACCGCCTCCCAGAGCGTGACCAAGAACACGGGACCTTCAGCGGCCAACAGCTCGACCGACGAGCAAAAACCCTCCAACGGAACTAATGGCATGATTGGCAACAACCCGCCGATGAGCGGCGTGCAAAGCCAGATGGGCTTCGGCTTCCCCAATCAGGGCGGCTTCAGCAATGGCTTGGCTTGGAACGGGATGCCTAATATCATGGCCAACGGCGGCTGGAACGGCATGAATCCTATGGGTATGTCTTTGGAATAACCTTGCCTTCCTTGCAGGCGACTAATGCCTTGCTAGATTTCAACAACATGAACGGAATGTACGGCAACTTTGGAGGGAACATGGGCTTGGGCATGAACGACATGTCTGCCATGAACATGATGCAGTACGGTGGTGGCTATGGCAATGGATGGAATGGTATGGGCAGTGGCTATGGAAACTTCAGCGGGCCCAATCAGCTGGGTGGCTTTAATCAATCTGGAGCATATCCCGAGATGATGAACCAGTTTCCCAAGAATAATTTCCCAAACCAGAACCACAATCGTTTCCATGCCAATCAAGGAGGAGCACATCCTCAGCGAAACAACAAGAATGGCAGCCAGGGTGGCTTTGGTCCGGGTTGCCAGAATGCGCCTGGTCGT